TGGAGAGGTAGGGAAGGGAGGGGGGGGGGGGGGGGGGGGAGGGGAAGCTTTTAAAAAGCCTGTAACAATCTCGTCTTCATGAAAGAGACATATTCCCCCCCTCCTCCAAGGAAAAAAAAGACCTATCAATTCACCCTGCCAGCCCACCCTCCCGCCAGGAGCAGAATTCCTTCCCATAGCACATTTTGTGCATGTTTTCCTACAGTGTACTGTTTACCAGTTTCATTTTAAAGCCTCCTATGTAACACAGCTTCTACAAGTCCTTTTTGGCTATTATATTCTGATGTAATAGTTATCATGACAATAAATTACATTTCCCCCCTCCCACCCCTGTTTCTTCTCATTATTGCTGTTTGTACTACTAACACACTATGGCTTTTTTTCCCCTATACACACAAAGTATGTGCTCTCCAAAGTACTCACTGCTTAACAAGCTATTATATGTTTTTCTTACTCTTTCCTTCCTGCAAGTAAAAAACTCAAACCTTCTCACTTTTTTCACTGGCTCTCCCCACCCTTACCAATGCCCATTTGCCAGGAATGTTACCCAAGCCAAATACGGTATTCCAAATGTGGACGCACTACACCTGAGGAGGTGCAAACGATAACCTCCTCCTCCTCACACAACACTTCCATTCACTTCAGAAGAGGACTGCCCTTTTTTGCCACCATAGTGAATTGCACATTCACTTCTAATTTTGGGTGAGTATTACTCAGCAATTTTCCCTTTATTATTTGGCTTCTTTGCAGCCAGATTAGAAGTTTCTATTTTTCACCACTAAATGTCCCTGGGTAATTTACTATTTATATTTCATACTTTTCAAAATCAATGGTTCCCCCACCACTTCAGGCCACCTGACCTGTAACAACACTCTCTATTTTAATTTTTTTTTTAGGCCATCATGCACTTGCACCACACTTTTAACTAAAAGCAACAGAAACACCAAGCGTCAGCAGATGAACTAGAGATTCCTTCTTACAGGGTCCCAGGGGACAACTTAAATTTCCTCCTATAGACCAAGGTACTTTATCTATGTTTATTTCTGCGTTTTAATGTTCATTCTGTGCATCACCTGTCATATTCATCTTCTCAAATATAAATCCTTGTTCAAACCAAGTCTTGAGTTTCCTTCACGAGATTCTCATGAAGCACTGTTCATTGCCACCATCTTCTGTTTCAGGGTATTATTTCCAGGTCTCAACTCCAATAATGTTTACTCAAATTCAATTTTAATTAACTTTGAGTGTAATATTTTCTGATCCACATCCATTACTTAAATATAATCATAAACAATGCAGATAGCTACAGAGCTAAAACAGTCTGACACTTTCATTATTAAGACTACTTTCAGGTGCATATAAACTTTGCCAAACTTCGAGCATTTAGGTTGAAATTTTCCAGGCCATATGTATGCCTGAGGCTGAAATTCTCTGGAAAATTCAGCAGAAACAGTTCAGCTATGTCTTAGAATGAGGTCACAGAAAAATACATCGTTTATGTTCTTACATAAAACACTTAAAAATACCTCTTGAATACCACGCTGTGGGGCAGAGAATTTTAATTTGCCAGAGTGACACTGGATGTTCAGGAAAGGCGAGGTGTGCGCCCCTGTCCAGAGAGAGCACCTGAATGTCACCAGACCGTGAGGAGCATGGGAGGAAGCAACGGGAGCGTGCAAGCAGCACAGCAAGACTTCATCAGAGGAGTTACAAGGTGTACGGAAGCAGCCTCCAATTTTCCAGACAAAGAAATGAGTTAAAAAAAGCAGCAGAGACACAAGCGAGGCAGGAAGAGTTGAAGGGAAGAGGAGGAAAGAAGGTCAGGAGGTGACATGGATACAGGCCGAAGAGTCTCTCTGTCCTCTGGACTAGTGACCTCCAAGCGGTGGAGATTTTGTGTGTGTCTGCGTGCACGCGCATGTGTGTGCGCACGCGTGTGTGCGTGGGTGTTAGGAGAGCAAGCCTCACTGCCACTTCATCCTTCCTTCCCTTCTTCTCACCAGTCTGCTGTCTCTTTGCTTCTCCTTGTCCTCTCCAAGACAGCTGCTCCTCTTTTCCTCAGGTGACATGCCTCCACTTCAGAAAGGTGGAGGAATAAAGAGCCTGAGACATGGCTGTAACTCCAGTCTGTAGGTGACCCATACAATGCTGAAACTGAGGAGGCTGCGGTCACGGGGTATGGTTAACGAGGGACCTGGGCATACTCAAAATTTACTGTGGACACTGCGATTGAGGCATCAGGATAAAGGACTGGAGATCCTGAATATGAGAGGGCTAGACAGAGAGCAGTAAATATCCCCAGGCAAATCACTGGGACAACTCAGAGAGACCTACCCTAGCTGTCAGCGCTGCCTGTTCCCTCCACCCTCCAAGGTCTCAGGGAAAGAACAAACAGTACAGGAGAGTACTCTCATCGTCTTTAGGCCTGGAGAAGACAGACCCAGTGAGGAAGCACATCTCATACCCTGCACTGGCTGGTCCCTACAGAGGGTGGCAACTCACCACTGCTATTCCCGACTCCCTTCAGATTAGATCCCAATCGTCTGTGCAGTGCAGCTAAAGGTTAAGACACCTACCCATGACTCAGCGGCTGTCAACATATTTCTGCAAGGCAAAACAAAACCAAGTAGCTAACTCTTCTCCAGGTTTAAGAAACAGTACCATTGCAGAGATGGTTGGAATTAAGTTTGCCCTTGCAACATTAAACGTGTCTCCTTCACAGATATAACCGTATCAGTCTTTAAATACACGATCACACTTTTGTCCTCACGGGCAGTGGATGTGCCTGCTCTAGGGATCAGTCGACAGCAGCGCAACGAAGGGGCTGTTGTGTGCTATAGGACCAAATGCTTCACTTATCATACGGGTAGTGAACGAAGCAGAAGATGGTCTTACCATTAAGGTAGCTGCATGCTGCTCAGGCAGAAGTGGGGTCTACCCCTGCATCTGCCACGGTTTTTCACTAAAACAAAAAATTTTCAAAATTTACCAGTTTAATGCATCCCTCATTGTGTGACTTGAAATCATGGGATTTAAATTGCAGGAAATGCTGCATATCTACAACTGCAACTACTTTTGAATTTGACGAGAGATGTGCTTTGAAGGTGTTTTCAGAAGCTGTATGTTCCAGAAAATTTAACCTACATCCATCATCAACAGGCCACTCAAACTTCCTACAGCAATGCCTCAGTTTCCCAACTGTAAAAGTGAAAAGAAAAAAAAAAATCATCATCTCTTCAGCAGAGAGCTGATTTTAGAATTTAATATGACTGTGATCAATACCATAGAAAACTCTCTAACAAAAGAACAAATTTTGTCTTCAGAACAGTGTACGGTGAGAAAGACCTGGAGCCATACACTTAACAGAAAGAAAAACCAGCTGCTCACCCAGTACTACGTGTCCCGTACAGCAGAGGTAAAAATTTAATTATAACTTTTTCCAACTTTAACGCATGCACAGTTTTCAGCTTTAGCACTCTTTTAAACTTAACGTTTCATTTTTATAGGAAGAGTTTCTTTCATCCACAATGTTTTGAAAAGTTATTTAGAAGGAGATGTTAGTTGAGAAATACATATCATAATCTTATCTGAAGGTTCCTTTATCAAGTTCAAATATCATCTTTAACATGGGTTCCAACAGTTTTCAAAGACAAGTTTTGGGTGACAGGATGATTCTGATAAGTATCAACTTCTTCATGTTGTAGGGATCAACAACCAACCCCTCCACACCTGCTCCCTAACACTTATCAAAAATGACAGCATTCCTCTAACTGCATGACATTCTAAAACACAGGGGGCCTGTATGACCACGAATGGCTGATGGCATCTTCCATGCCTTTACTTAATTCTGTCACATGCTGTACTACAAAGTTTTAATTACTTTTTCAGTTTTATTTTAGTTTCACTGCAGTCATCAATATCCATTTATTTCCTTTACCTTCCTTTACAGAAGGGCCCAATTTTTCTCTAGTGCAATTTTACTCCCAATATACACATTACCTTTTCACCAATTTAGCTACTGTTTGCTCATGCTATTTTTACTGCCATATTCTACCAGGCAAGCCTGAATGGATTTGGCCTTTTGCTTCTGAGTCTGCACCTCCTCTTCAACTTGCTGCATTTCATTTAAACTTTGCATAGATCTGCAGTTCCTCAAAATACCTCAGCCTTGTTCTTTGCTTCAGTCCACAATATTATTATAATTTATAACCCCTTTATTATAATGCCTATCTTGTGTCAGTATCGGATTCATTTGCACAGGTACTATCAGACTTTGTAAGAACAAAGCATTTCATTAGAGTCCCTGCCTATTACGTACCTTGTGAGCGCATTAAAACACCCAACAGAAGGTTTGCTAATGATTTCAGGAGGGCCAAGGTTTCATTCCTGGTCTTTAGACTGACAGGCCAACCATTAAGGTAGGACACAGAAAAGCCTACGCTGCCTACAAATAGTAACTGGCAATCCTTTTCTGTTACCTGCTCCTTTTTTCAATGTTTTGTGTAGAAGAATGCATAAACTCAGCATCCCTGCTATAAGCAGAAGTGGAAAAATTAATATTCTACACCCACTTGTAAACCCAGTATCACCACCACTTCTGCTCTCCTCCTAGCCAAAACAATCAAATACATCACCTCACCCTGAAGTACCTGGAGATTCAATTTTACCTTTTCTAAAGTGAGAGAAAAAAAAACACACTACCATTTTCTCTCATCATTTAACCAGTGTTTTCCCAGGTATCTTGTCTCCAGCCGGATCTGAGGCAGGGTGCACACTAGAATAACTTGAGCAGTCTGACCAAGGCGTATCATCTCTTCCTTTTGGGACATTACTGATGTTACATATGCATTATATATACGCTATTAAGTTATCAATGCATGTTTCACTTCTAACACCAAAATCTTTGTTTGAAAGACAGTTATGAATATGAACAACATTGGTCACAGTCCCAAAATGTAACTTAGTCCTTTAAAGATGCCACAAAGAACCCCACCACTGAAGTCTCAAAAGGCAGGGAGGAGTGGGAGACACTTTACAAAGGTTACAGTGGGATTCAGATGTGACGGTAGAGCTCTTATACAAGGCAGACAGAGCAATTCACTGCAAGACAAGAGTATTCACATGAGATATAACTACTCTTCAAGTGAAAGTGTGCTTTTTTGTTTGTTTAAACAAAA